AAAAAAATGTTTTTCAACAGATTGCGACTATTAATCTCGTGATCCTAGTTAATAGGCCAGTCATTGCCACCAAAAGCGTCAAACCCATGTGCAGCAACCCCACCTCGGCACATGGGCAAGGCACTTGCAATCGATCAGCTTTCAAATGCACTGCTGCCATTGGTTGCAACACACGGATCGTCATTGTGTCCAAGAAACTCGCACGAGCAAGATGTCTACTGTCGGTGACGCTGCTACTACTATGAGCCGCATCAAAAAGGATGATGGTGAGACCAGCCGAATTAATCCCTATCTCTGGGTTTTGGACGGCCTGGTCTCAGCCATCGCCAAGACAGCCTGCAGGGGGTCCGAGCTGTCGAACGTCATGTTGAAGAAATACATGACAAGGTGGCTGAAGGCCAACCTGAAGAAGCTGTACAAAAAATATAGAAGATTTGGCGCAGACAAGAATGAGAAGACAAAGACAATCAGTCGAGGCATTCAAAGGTGGGAAGACCAACCAGCCTCAAGAATGGCTGCTACAGAGCTACACTTTGCAAAGGCTCAGCCGGCCCCAACTTTCATCCCGCACCATTTATATGCGGCGAATGGGCCAGATGCAGACCGCCAGCCAGGTAGGTGCACACCTCAACACACATTTAACACATGACAGACTACTATCTTGTGAAGGGCTCGTGGTGCCTTCAACGGGAGGAGCTGGCGGACCTGCAATTACTCAGGTTGCATCGGCTGCAAACGACCCGCAGTTCTTGCGTAAGTTACCTATCACTGACTTCTCACCCTACCCACAGATATCACAGGCTGAGGTGGGGACTGCAGTGCAAGTGGGCCTCAATGCGGAGAACAAAATCCGCCCGGTGCTTACCCGTTTTCACCGAGGCTTCACGAACGACTTTTGTGTGATGCAGACTGATTCGTTAAACGGGTACGTACACACACTGATTAGGGTGTTTATTTGACTGTGAAGAGAGAGACAGTGGAGCAAGACTAACGAAGACGGCTTTGTTACCCTTTAGGTTGCCTGAGGATGAGCAACGGTCGCAGGAAACCGTTATACCTGTGGAGCGGCCAAGGCGGAATCGAGCTTACAAAACTCGTCCGCCGACCAATGTCGCTGAGGTCGTGGCCGTCGAAGACTGGGAGCAGCACTGGCAACATCAACAACAGCACCAGCAGCAGCAGAAGCGGCCATGGTGGTGGTGGACGTGTCGAGAAGACTCACTGATTCGTGTCGGTCTCCCCATTCCCTGCCTGCTTGTTGCGAGCGGGCTTATATGGAACATTTGCAACACA